TTTGCAAATACCATCAACAGCTAAGGGTACGCCATCTTGAATGTTGATCGGATACGGGTTTAATCTTGATCCAACTGCTGAACTTGAGAACCAGCATAGAATGAATATTATAAAGGTGTTTATTATGTTAGCCATCTAAATGAAATACAGTTGCTGTTATGACTTACCACAAACAATCATTATTCATCCTGCATTTTATAGTAGAAGAAACCCATGTGCAAACATAATTAGAGTAAAACATTCTTATTCTAGAATAAGGTCATAATCACTCAAACCCAACTAAATTGCTAATTGCTTAAGATTTCGTTTCTGCCACGATTTCTATTTTCGTGGGATATTGTTGGTCTACATGTTCATACTGGGTGATCACCCCACTGAGTGAGACATTTAGGAAGCCTACAAAAGGAACTAATAGAGAATTCGAGTATTGGAAGAAAATGTTACCTAGATTTTGGGTCACTTTGGTACACAATATTGGTATGAGTATATGATATAACACTTTCTTAGGTATACGGTATGATGGGGATAGATTTACCTAATACCATATTTTGGGTCGTAATTCGTTTTAGAAGTATTATCTAGATCGTTTTTACCACTATACAACATTATATATCATAAAAATCCATAAATACTAAGTCAGTTATGCTCGATTTTTTATTATCCAAAGCAATATATAATTATAAATCTATATACTTGTAGTTAATTAATATGTATTTATATTTGTGCTACATATACAATTTGGGATTGTATATTTTGACGATCTGAATCTCGAATCCTTTCCATTTGAGATCAATATACCCATATCGTTGTTTGTTAGAGGTTGAAAGAAATCTGGTAACTATGGAAATAACTAAGATCAATCCCTACCCACGAGCCTTGCTGCGCAAAATTAAAACTCAATGTGTCACGGTTTCAAGTCATAGACTAATCTCTCCTTTTACGGGTATATGAAGGTAGAATCTATGTATGAAACCTTACAATGACGAGATTCTTGTTCACCTAGTTGTCCTAAAATAAACTCTTCAGTTGATTAATGGCCACTTTGTTTGAGATGTGAGTTGAAACCAGTCATATCAGCTTAATCCCAAGTAAGAGAAACAACTTACAAGTAGTATCATCTGCTAGAATACTTCAAAACTTTTTATCTTGAGAAATGCATTTTTTTTAAAACCCCCAATTGAGCATTAATATAAAAAATAATAAGAGCAGAGGTAGGAAGCATGTCTCCTTCAAAAATACGATTCACTGACATGTAACATTCTCAAAAGTTTATCATAAATCCAAATCTAGAACGTGATCGAAATGTTCTTATTTCTTAAGGTTGAGGCAATTTATAATCGAGTCATCCAATTCTTATAGCGCCACCTGAATGACAAAGCACGACATGATTCTAAAACGGAAAACTAATCAGTCATCTTCATAAACCCCTTATGTAAAAATAGAGCAAATCTTAGAAACGCATATTTTACTGAGAGCATGATGGACATTCGATTACAATGAAATCCACATTTACAATTTGAGCACGATTTTTGAGAATAAATGGAGACATTTTGGCCAGATTACATACTATAGGAAGGGATTACACACAGCTTGCCTTGCATTCATGCCCTTAACATAATCTTTAAGTTCCTCTCTTTACTGAACAAAATGTTTATGTCACTCGCGATCTTTGAGGCTGACCAGCAAGAGAGCTGCACATCATTGGCATCAGATAGTGAATCCGCGCCTCCATAGCTGAGAAAGAGAGGAGGTCATTTGGTATACTTGTCATTTTGAAGATGGAGGACTGAGCTGCCCATAATGTTCCCGATTATTGCCCTAATCTTAATAATCACAAAATGTGATGGTTCCTTCTCTTAGGACTGTCCAAACAATAAACTGTATTTTTTTTCTTGTGAAAAAGAAATACAGAAGCAATCTCAACTCGTAAAACTATATCTGTAATTTTCTCTTCTAATGTTTTTAAGTAAACAACAGCAGCATCTGTTCTCGGGTTTCACCTGTTAACAAGCAGGTTGTGTGTCTCCAGAGTTGTGGCGAATAGACACGTCCTTTTGCAATGCTTCTGATGTTCCAACAGTATTTTCTGGCAATTTGCGCTTTAGAATTCCGGGCAATCTGGGTCTTATTAATGGTCTTTGAAGGAACTTGAGGTGCCACCTTTTAGGTTTTAGCTGTCCTAACAGTTTCATCTGCTCCTTTCTGAACCTCCCATTTGCAGACCATTTTCCACCTCGCCAACCCAAGCCATAACTGCAATTAAGAAATAGAAAAGGGGTAAAACTCGGGGGAAATCTGAAGTCTTAAATTCTGCAATTAAAATCAGTGACAAAATTCCTACCACCTATTAGAAAGAATTATGTAATAAGCTCTTAAGCACGTAAAAGAATTCTTGTGTGCGTTTCCAGATAGCATTCTATCTTGTTATTTTTAAATTACAAAGTACATATATCAAACAAACTCAGTAGTAAAACGGAAAGCAGCGTAACAAAACAAACATTTGTTGGTTTTACCTGCATATAAAATTTCGACTATTTTTGACATTTCACGGGAATATAAAAGAGTGAAAACAAAGCAATAACATTCCACCCAGATATAAATTTACAAACCCAAGAATGAAAGAGGTTCCAGCAGTGGCAGCACAAGCTGGAATACTGATACTGCCTGAACCAACAAGCTTTTGGATATCAGTGTGTTCCAACTGAGAAGTGTTTTTCATCTGCCAAAAAGAAAAAGAAACACTACATCTCAGATGCAACATATTACCTCAAAGATAGAAAAAGGAAATGGTAGATACTCTAGCAACTAGATAATAACTCACAAAACAAGCTCGCCAAAATTGGGGAAATAATATAATGCAGACACTGTAAAAATCACTGAACTACACCAGATCATCTAAAAGCCAGTGGCTTACAAGATAGAAACTATGTGTTGCCATTGCCACAATCAAAAGCAAAGAAACCATAAGAACCCAAAAACGTCACATTGGACAAGTTGGTCAGGATTCAGATTTATCAGGCCCTTAGGATCCTATCACAGTGGATCAAGTCAGAACACCTTTACATCTAAAAGAAACTGTTCTCAATAAAACAATCCAGGCTACACACTATACCGCAGGCTGGGGAGAGCTGCTCTGAGAAGCTAGTGATCAACATTCTTGTGGAATTACCGTACCGAAAGCAAAGAGGATACGAAGGGCCTTGAATAAAGAGCAAGATAGTGATGGGCAACCTCAATATGTGTTCCTTGTAATCCACCACGTGAAAAGTACCAGTCTTTCTACAGTATTGGCACAAAAGAAGTTGGTCCTTCACTTTCTATAGTACCAGTCAATATGGACTCACTTGCCAGATCTTCCACTCACCCATTTGAGGTGGACTCAATCAGTCTTTTTGTTTGAAGATTACTCATTCTTCACTATCTTGCTTAAATTTTGAATCTACATATGATAAAAATGACAACGCATACTTACAACAGTATCATGGGCAGGGGAAATAAAAATAAAAAAAGGCAATAGCTGGATCTGTCTCTCCCATTTTGCTCTGTGAGTCATTTTTTCATCAGATGCCAAGCGGTAACAACTTGGGTTTGTGGAGTTGAGAATATATCAACACAAACTAATTGAAGCAACCCAAGGAGGAATCGAAAGGAAAGGGATGAGGAAGGAGAGGGAGGATATAGCAAAGATTGAGCATTCTAATTGTTAATCACAAATAAAGACTTCAAATGCACTGCTGAACAAATTCAACAAAAATTTTAATTATATGATAACAAAAAAAGAAAGAGAAATAGTCAATCTGTAGACTTACTCGTGATTTTCTACGAAGACAGCCAGACAGAAATCTGACTAGCTTTTTCCCCAAAACAATGAAACTATGAATAAAAAGAAAATGGCAACAATCTCCAATAAGTTCCACCAACAACACCCAACTTCTACCAGCCTCAAGCCTCATAAACCACTGGTAAAAGGATATCATATTGCATTCAAATGAACAATGATCCACTGAACTCATGGTTACAAAGAGGCCTCAGTTCAGAATCTCGAGATACGAGAGTTTGAACTCCATGCATGAGATAGAGGTGGTTTGATTTAATATTGTTTGGCCAACGAGAAAAAAGGAAAACGAAAAAGGAGCTGCTCTAGAACGGATTTAGAATCTCAGTGAAGATATTGTGGGCCTATTTTAACAGGGATTTGATGAAGTGATCGACATATATGTAGTGTAATCAAAAGCTGAACAACACAACAATCTTAAAGTGAGAATTTAGAAACACCATCTGAGGATTGTGCAATAACTGGCAATTGTGAAATAACACTGTCGTTATGCTAAGACGATCTTAGTAAATAGCCTCTATCCACAATAAAGTGTCAGATGAGGGGTTCAGTGCACATATCACTGAATTCAAAGTGCTAATTCCAACTATGAGAACTCATGAAAATCATAAAGCTGGGATTTAAGAATATATATTGATCAGTTAACAATATTTCAATTTAGCAGCCAGTCTCTCCATCACCATACATTTAAAATTCTAAGCTAGATAACAGGGTTAAAGTTCTATTGATTCCGCAAGCACAATGGCAGAATGTTATTCATCTAGCTCCCAATTTGTTGGGATAAAACTTTGTTGAGTTGAATTGAGATTACATGATATTGCAAGTAAATAACAAAGTTAAGCAAAAAAACTGTGAGGGAAAATGATAAAACATTGACTTACAGCTTTTTCGATTGATTCTAGCCTTTGATCAACTCTTGACTCATGAAAATGGCGTAGAGAATAACCTGCACTATCAGCTCATATTAATTCCAATCATAAGAAAAATGAGTTAGCAAAGAGTTTTCTAAAACGCATAACTTCAGCTACACCCCAAACCCCCATACCCAGGCAAGTGGAAAAAACAAAAGAGCAGAATAAAAAACAAAAAATAAATAACAAAGACCATAGCCACACTGGCCTATATATTTTAGCGATAAGATTCTTATTAGTACTATTACAAAGAAAAATATGGATATCTTACTCTTTTTCCTTTAAGGAACAAGTAAAATCATCAAACATGATGAAGGTGGTCTGCAGACAAGAAGTGATGAAGACTGGATTTAAAATCTGAAAGTCTAGTTGTTTTAGAATGAAACCGTGTTCTTAGGATTAGAGCATGTTCTTAGGAAGGCTAGAGACGCAGATACCGTACAATTTTGGCCGTATTCATAAATCTGAAAAATTCTAAAGATTGTTCGAAAGGTAAGCAGGTTTGTTCGAACAGTGTATTGTACAATGTGTGAAGGGTTACTTCCGGTGCGCTCTTTTCAAAGCACGTCCAAAAGCTGTTCAAAAGCGATTCTGAAACTTGAAATTCCAATGAGAAACATTTGATGCATATTTGAAGATGGTTCAAACTTCAAAACCTGGTCAGTCCGTTTGAATGGTGGCTAAGGGTATTCACCGGAGATAGGACTTTCTGAACGAAATTTGAAATTGAGTTCAGCAAGGGGTTAGTTTTTGGCCTGCATATAATTGGTTATTTTAAGCTAGGAAGACAAGTCTTTTAGAGGTTTTACCGTCATATTGGGGAGAATCTGGAGGATCGAATAACTAAAGATTCTTTGGATGGTGCGATAGTTGGTATTGAAGCAGAGCTTCTTATCCAAAGTATTCATGTAAGGATTCGACAACAACATTAAAGCTGAGCAGCTTCTGTCCACCGTCTAGTTCAATAAGTTTCAAGTCTTAACATTCTCAATAACCCCTTGGGAGTGGAAGAGTTGAAGAGCTTGGAGCTTGAAGCTTGACAATAGCCTGCAAGGAGATCTAGTTGTAAAGCCAAAGGGCTTGACAATAAGTTTGTATCTAGTTTGGGGTTATACAAGAAACAAAACCTCATTAGCGAAACTTCTGACTCCGAAGGCTTTTGCAGTCGAGCTTGAAGCTTGACAATAGCCTGCAAGGAGATCTAGTTGTAAAGCCAAAGGGCTTGACAATAAGTTTGTATCTAGTTTGGGGTTATACAAGAAACAAAACCTCATTAGCGAAACTTCTGACTCCGAAGGCTTTTGCAGTTGAGGATGTGGATATAGGGCTTTTGCAGTAGTGGATGAGGACATAGGCTTAGTTATACCAAACACAATATACCTTGTGCCTCGTCCATATCAAGATTTCATGTTTTTGTGCTTCTTATCTTTGTTAATCATGGATCGACCAATAAGTGTCTGGGCAAACCACTTGTGGGATTTTTTGTCTGCCAAAACTCAAGGGATTTCATACGAACTCTTGATCCCAAAACTGTTTTCATATTGATTCTGATTTAAACCTAGCAACTGATATAAGGGCAATAATTTTTTTTTCCTCTTCACAACAGAACGGTACTGTTTTTATTTGGCATTTAGAATTTTTGGTACTATTCCACAAGGGTTCATATAGGAAACATATTACCAATAAACCGCAATAGCATCTTGCTAAAATTCCGTAGCAATCCAATGTAAAATCTTAAAAACATGATATAGGAGATCGCAACTACTTACGGAATCAAATTGAACATACCAAACCATGCTGTTGCAACGGATGCTATAGAAGTGGAGATTGTAAATACCACTTTATGGCTCTCAAAAATATCCTAATATCAAAATCAAACACAAAAATAAGAAACCTAAATAACAAAAGCACACTCATCAATATCGAACTCTGTCAAAACACCAAAACCCACAAAAAAAATAGCCCACCTATTAGCTTAAACTCCAAATAAATCAGAATTAGAGTGAGAAAGACCGTACCTTTGCTGAATAATAAGTGTCCTGAACAGCAGACCAGGAATCCAAAGCTTTTCTTCTCATCTGAGGTACTGTTAGATACCTAATAAACGACGACCCCGAGGTCCGTAGACGCTGCATATTGCTGTATACCCTAGATCCAGTTGATTTTGGACCCTGAAATCAACCCAAATTCCATAAGAGCAATAACTTCTCGATGCGTTTTGCTTTGTCGTGCCTTTTCAATTCGGAGGTTCAGAGGTTTTAGTTTAATTTTTTTGGTTAATTGCAAGTTGCACGCCGAAAGATAATTCGAATCTCAATTTAGACCTTCAAAAATAAAAAATTTTAATTTATACCCTCAAAGATAAAAAATTATATCAATATACACTCTCAAAGATAAAAAAATCTCAATTTGCACTCTCAAAATTAAAAATTTGTATTAATGTGTACCTAAAATTAATTGATAAATTATACCTAGATTCTCTCATGTTGTCATTTAATCATTTGGATCCTTCACATTTATAATATTACTCATATATCTCATGGCGTTTGTGCACATGTAACACATAATCCCTTTTCGTTGATATATATTAATATAATCGTTAAAAAAATATGATTTTATCCTAATAAAAAATTATAATTTCATATTATCCTTTATTTTATGGATCCGATATACTCTAAAGTTCAAAATCAAGCTTACCATTTGAATGTCTAATAGAATATAGATATTTATATAATATTATTTATATTCAATGCAATATATTACTTAATGTGCAACCCTTTATTCTATTAGACATTTAAATGATAAGCTTGATTTTGAACTTTAGAGTATATTAGACTCATAAAATGAAAGGTAATATAAAATTATAATTTTTTATTAGGATAAAATCATATTTTTTAAGGGTTATATTAACAGATATCAACGAAAAGAGATTACGTGTTACACGTACACAAACATCATGAGATGTAGGAATAATATTCTAAATGTGAAGGGGTTCAAATGATTAAGTGACAAACATGATGAGATCTAGGTATAATTTATCAATTAAGTTTTAGGTGCACATTGATACAAATTTCTAATTTTGACAGTGAAAATTGTGGTTTTTTATCTTTAGGGGTACACATTGACACAAATTTCTATCTTTGAGGGTGTAAATTAAAATTTTTTATCTTTAAGAGTGTACATTGATACAAATTTTTATATTTGAGGGTATAAATTGAGATTTTTGATATTTGAAGATGCAAATTAAAATTTGAACAATCTTTCAAGGTACGATTTACAATTAACCCAATTTTTTTTTTAGACCGAATCTCTTTGATAGCACCAAAAAATCAAACCAGTTTAAGTATTTTTTGAAAATAGGTTAAAATTTTAAGGCTTAACCCTAAAAATATTAGTAATAATTTTATCAATTTCTTGCAAGGAACAAATATGACTTCAATAAATTTTATATTCTTTAATTTTTTAATACTCACTACCATTATTATTGGGTTACTGTCACCACCATTGTTATTGTGTCACCATTACTACCACCATTATGCCGTTGTCGCCAATATCGTTACCACCATTGGACCGTTGTCATCACCACCACTTTTATGCCACTACTATCATTGTGTCACCATCACCACGATCGCTATTATTTTTGTGCCGCCATCATTAGCACCATTTGTCACTACCACCAACACCATTGTAACGGAGGGGAAAGAAATTAGGTAGTTGCAAATAGATGATTAAAAAAAAGGAAAATTTAAAATAATAGTAATTTTAAATTTCAATTTTTTATATTTATCAAACAGTTTGTTTAATTCAATACTTAAATTTCAATTGATACCAAATAACCTACAAATTAGGGGTTAAACTATAATGGAGACAATATTTTCTATCTTTAATTGAGGTAATTTGGTTGTTTAATAAATTCTAGTAATTTTGTAACGAATAAGTGGTCTAAGTTTAATTTTTTTAACTTAAGAGGTCTAAGTGTTACACGCTTACAAATTTAAGATAGTTTATGTATAATAGTTCAAAGGTTAGGAGATATAAGTGACAAACTTCGTGAAGTTTTGAGTGTAATTTTCTCAAAAAAAAAAGTGAGGAATCAAGGGAGGGAGTCGGCGAGAGAAATATGGGCGGAAAAAAAAATTCAAGAGTTAATCTCAACCATTGGATCAGATTTAAATAAAATTGAATAAATCGAGACTACGAAAAACAAAAATCATTTTTATGTCTCAAAGATATTTGAATTACCTTATACTTTATTATATAGACTAGGGTTAGGATAGCCACACACACAAAAAAAAATTGATATTGTACCACTAGCTATAAATTTTGTGATTTCATTTATAATTTTAAAAATCATTTATGAACCTAAAAACTTATATTTTAACTCACAAATTTATAATTTTTTTTGTCGTAAACAAACCTAAGAACTTACATTTCAACTCACAAAATTCATACAAATTGATGGCATGATACTGATTTATTTTTTTTTAAAAGTACCATAATCATCTCCTTTCATATGACATCTTTTCCAGTATAATTTCTTTATGACCATTTATTCTGAGAACAAGGCAGAAAATTAAAGCTACGGGAAAAGGTTATAACCAGCTTGCTTCCAAGCCACTCGTGGAGATGTTCAAGGAGTTATTCCAATGACCTCTGAGGGCTGACAGTCAAATGAACTCGAGTGGGCTCATTTGAACTTAAAAAATTTGTTTTCTTAAACGAGTTTAAAAGATTATTTAAGTTTCACCGTTTAAAAAATAAGTCGAACTTAAACGAACTCAAAATGAGGCAAACCTGAGTATTTACATATAAATAATTCGACCCTGTCATACTCGCTTTTTCAGACGAGCCTAAAATATTGTTTAAGTTCAACTTGTTTAGAAAACGAGCCAAACTTGAACAAACAAAAAATGAATTGAACCCAAATCGAACTCAAGTAGCTCGTTTTGATTAACAAACCTACCCCCTGATGCAACCAAACCCGCTGGTTACACAACTGAATGCATCCCAACAGCAGACTTGAATGCACCAACAAAACATAAAGACATAAAAAGTAGGAGGTGGATGCAAAGAGTTAAATTTACCCACCTACCTAACGGAAAATGGGTAACAAAGAAAATTTTCCGAAAAAATGCACAATCACATTCCAATCCACTGCCCAGCACAACCCAGTGGCAATGGCATCACACATGAAGGTGAATATATGGAGATGAATATCCTGATATCTTATTTAGCATTCCATATACAACATAATACAACTGATATGTATTCAACAGTGAATGAAGTAACACATGTTTTGTTATCTCAACCCATAGGCAGGCTCGTTCATATGATGTGTTGGTTGAACTTTGGTATCAAGAAAAAAATAGAGAAACAATTAAAAAAAAAAAAAAAAAAGAAATTGTAGCATCAGGTCCAAAAGTTTTACTTTCAAATCTTGTTATTTTTCCTATATCAGAATCTTCAATCTGCACGATACCTATGTTCCCTTGATTATGTGGAATTGCACATCACCAATCTTGTACACATGTAGGCTCCTCGATGCAGCAATTCTACAAAATCATCACCACCACCAACAAACCGAGTTTTTAAGCTGAATGCGCAAATCATGAATGGAAGCACTAGCAAGCAGGATCTTTTGCAAGAATGCCAAATTTGGTAAGACATGCAGGAAATTTCATGATAGTAAAATGGGGGTTGTTTTGTTTTAGCAAAACTTATTTTCAAATTCCATTTCAAACACTTGAGTGGTTAAACTATGCTGCACTTCCTATCATTCATACAAATACACCTCTTGGAAACACAATGGGTTCAAAAAAAACAGAAATACGATGATGTAATTCAATAAAACTCACTCAACTTTCCTATATATCAAATGATTGATTGCATGGATAACTGCATTTACCATACAATTCTAGGAAATGATTAGTAGATCAAATATAGTTCAATAACTAACAAATTTTGGGTCAAATCCACTACTTAGAAGCTAACAGTGCCACCTATTAAATAATAACTAAACAGATCCAAAATGAAGGGAAAGGATGCGGACACTGAGTAGAAATTTAGAGTCCACAACTTGTACAATGTAGAAATTAATAGCAGACAAAAACTTGCGAATGCACTCACCAAATAAGCAGTTGTATAGATGTATACCCCTAATCCATCAATTGTAACAGTTAGCCCCAGGCCATGGAACAAGCATAATTGACCACCAGTTTACCATCAAAACCAAAATTCTGCCAATGTTAAAGTAGCAACAATAAATAACAGCGGAAGAAAAAAAAAAGGAACGCCGAGAGTTCATGGTATAATCCAATTGAAGTAATGTACTATCACCTCCCAACAAAAACTAATGGTTCCCTTTGTTATTCCAAAATCAGGACAGAGCAAGTACAAAATCAACGTTAAGTTACATAACAATTTTTTTTTGGTGGGACTAAATCCATGATTTTATTTTATATTTCCACAGAATCTGCACAAGTGGTCAGGGTGGTTACATTATGAGAATTTGCACAAAATGACCAGGGATCCAACTACTTTCTGACAAAACAAAGAGAATCATCAAGGAAAGCGCATGAACAAATGTCATCTAAAGAAAATCTCCGTGTTCCACATTCAAAAGTAACCAAACCATTCAATTCTTTAAAAGAAAGTAAGGAATAATGATTTATAGTCCTGTCCTTGCATCAAAAAACTGTAATGCACAAATTTCGGCATCCACAATTCCCAATCACCTCCCCAAACTTGAATTAGAGGAAACACAATACTTGATAAGAATTATAATACATACACACCCGTGTGGAAATGAAATATTTGGTACTCAATTACTCAGAATTGGCACATGGGCCCAGTGGAAATGAGCACATGGTCCTTAATGGATGAGATACAATTGAACAATTGAAATTTTGGGACTCAGACTGTCAGACCAAACAGAGCTTTTGGAAAAATAGCAACTTCATTGCTGTTTCTAATTCTGATATTGAGCTGGGTACTACTGTACCGAAAGTCGGTCTCCCAGGAGATAAGTTGTGTTGCGCTTACGGTTCTCCAGTAATTAACTGTCCAGCTTTTGCTCATACGTAGATGTGGCACACTAGTGACGGGCTACTGATATACTGAACATACAATGTCCACATAAAAAGCATGCTTATGCATCATTCAGCATAATTTTCAACATGGAACAGACCATCTACTTAGGTATCATTCTTTAGAATGCATCTTTTACGTACATCACGTGCAGATCCACCATAACAAAAATAGAGCTTGAGTTGGATAATCATCTGAATATTTTTTAGAGCTATAAGTATACAAATCCTCCAATGTTTTTTTAAGAAAAAGAGGCAAGTTTGAAATGATATAATAACAAAAACATCATATTCATATAGATATATAAAAAATTGCATATGCACATATATATATATATAGAGAGAGAGAGAGGTTACGCCAACTTACATTATACAGGTCAATCACTAATTCATCTGGATTTGGTGAGAAGGCACTGTTGACATACACAAACTTGGAAAGCAATAAAAAGGAGATCAGTGAAACAAAATCTAATGTAAATATGCATTTTAAAATGACACAATTACATAATCATCTACCAATGTCTCCCTGTGAAGTTGACGACAAAGAAAATCAATCACTTTAATGAACTTGTCTGTCCCAGCAATCTGTTAAATGAATATTATAAACACATTTGCACAGAAAATATTATTGATATTCAGCATTGCCTACTGTGCGTTTTGAAAGATAAACAAAATAGTCATGGATATGAAAAAAACCAATGGCACAGAAAACTTCAGTAATCCTACCTGCTACATTACCATTCATTTCCAACTCCAAATTATGTCCACTCTGGCAGTGCAGAGCATTTTATAGGGTTAAATATAAAAGAAGTTTTTTCCATCAATCATGGGGAATCTTGAAGTTGATGATAACTAAAAGTAAAGCATTGCTTGAATCCATGCTATACATAGATTTACAATTATGCATATGATTTAGGTTTTAGCCTTAGATGCAAACGCAAAAAACTCAAATGGCAACAGCAAAGCAAATGCCACAATGCTTCAGAGATCTTCCAGAATAAGAGTGCTGACACTCGTAAATGAATCATATGCAAAAGGAAAAATTAAAAAGAGAAAAACAAGAGACTTTGAGTCTACTTGACACCACTTTTGCCGTCAATATATTACATACAAAATTAGATAATATGCATTTGCCAGAATAATTTCAAAGCCAATTACTTATTAAAACCCAAGATAAAGAAAAAGGAAGAAACGCATAACAAAAGGAAAAACTCTTCTTTTCAAATCTTCATCAAATGCGCAATCTCTACAAGAGATAATTCGACAATTAAACTGAAATTTAACTGCGATTTGTCGAATTGAACATAATGAACATGTATTCTAGCAATATTAGATGTTTAATTAGAACATCATAAACAAAAGACTACCTTGAACTTGGCTTGCTTGAGAATTGGGGCATCCCCAGTGGCTCTTAGGTGAACAACGACTGCATCATATTAAGCAAAAGATTAACAAAAATTAGAGGCCTAATCAAGAACTCCAATTAATTCACAAACCCTAATAAGAAGACTGACCTTTACGAGCAGCACTAGGAGATTCCGAAGCCATCGTCAGTCTTTGATTGTCTCAAGAGACAAACCTTCTTCGCTTACAAATTGGAACTGATCTGAAATTTCTGCTTCCAGAGCTCTGATTTCTACTTCCGCTTCTTTCTTGGATCTGAAACTAGTCCTGATGGGGAACGAATGAGTTACTTTTGGTCCCAAGATTATGGCCCATTGTGCCGTGATTGTGGATAATGTCGTCGTGAGTCTTGATATTCTTTAATTAGGTACTGGCATGACATGTTAAGGGAGGAGAAGAACAAGATTAGAGATTTAAAATTTGATCAATTCTATATTTGAGAAAAGAAGTAAACTGTTATTAAATTGATCTTTTTCTGTTATTAAATTGATCTTTTTCCCAAAAAAAAAAACATCATGGGCAAGGACAGAACCAAATGGTCCCCCTTAAATTTTCAAAAATATCTTTTATCTGTGTATTTGAAACTTTTAATATATCTCCTTAATTTTTTATAATTTTTTTATATATCTATTGTATTCAAATAATTTTTTTTTTTTTTGGGAGGGGAAAGGGGGACTTGAACCCTTTACCTTAAGAAGACAAAGTCTTCACAAAGCAAGGAGTACCATTGAACCAAATTAAATGGCCTTAATAACCAAATGGTTAATGCTAATCACATGGATGAGTACTTCTTTTACAAACAATGAAATTTGCTAAGATTATTTTGATGACCCAAAAAAAGAAAGAAAGTTGCTTATAAGATAAACAATGCACTAACGATTAATTGTCAAAAGTATCGTGTAAAACTAATATTTAATATGATAATTTATTCGTAATCACTACATCAGGTCATAAGTAGAAGAATTAGTAGATCTTGACATTGTCACATATTAATTTCTATGATTGTAACTACGATATGTTTTTTTCTTATGAGATATATAGTTATTTGCCCGTACCTGAAAGCACTTTGTAACACGGGAAAAAAAAATTAATTAGAAAAAAAGAGATCTCTTTAAAAGTGAAATCCCCAATCAACAAATTTGTTTTATTGGTATTTTGAAAGAATTGGAGATTCAACTATCCAATCCATACACTTTCTTTACTATATTTTGAGATTCTATTTTCGTTTGCACTCACATTAGGTATACACGCTTCCAGATATGCCTTATTGATACACAAATCTAGAAAATACTTCTTCTCCAACTGATACACCATCTCAAATGCAATATAAACAAAATCAAAATATTCCTAAATTCCAAACATGAAAAGACAATGATATCCAACTATACAAAGCAGGCTCCACCAGGTGTGCAACTCACTATTGCTAAAAAAACTAATGCCAACACTAAATTAAGCATTATATTTCCATTTCCATACTAAAGTAGGCATTAGCCAATGACACGTAGCACAAATGTCACGCCACAGAATATGTCAATGAAGATAATGCAATTTTGAGTTTTTTTTTAGACCAGAATACAATTTAGAGCTTGAGTTCATAGTAACACACAACAACGGTGTGCTACCATAACACCGTTGAATGTCTCAAAGCCCAATCAAATTGCATCTGTGGTGTGTGCATGAGTGTTTTTGGATTTTTACACAAAGAGTTAGCACCAAACAAATTCAGTTTTGCATTAACACTAAACAATGCAAAAATATCAAATTACACCGTATAATACTAAAAAGTCTAAACCAACAAAACACCAGACTATTTTTCAGTCAAAACAGAGAAAATGAATTTATATGACTCTAATATCTGTGAACAAAAAAAAAACTCAGTTTTCATGTGCTAAACATCCAACCCTACATAGCATATGATCAAAAGAATGAATACCAAGTCCAAACCTAAGAAGCCACCGATTTTCAACTCAATTAAAGATATCATCAGCCCGTTCAAAAAACTCTATAACACCAAAAAGAAAAAGAATCACAACTTTTCCATGCAATACTTGTAACAGCGGATCAAACTCCACATGCGAACAATTGATTGTGGCATGTTGATTGTAGTCAACATAATGATGTCAAAGAATATATGTACTCCACGTAGGCACTTCCGGATAAATCAGTATAAATAATGTATATAAATCAATACAAATTGAACAATTCAAAGCACTTATTTTTTCCCATTCAAATTCATCCCTAGCCACTGCTTATACCAAAAATATACCAAAATATAGCCACTGCTTGATCAGTTGCATGATTTCAGGGCCTATTAAATAAAAGTATATCCGTAATAGCCAATTATTGTTCAATTTCAAGTTCAATTGAATAATTAGAACCCTAATTTGGGGTAGGTTGGATGGGTTGGTGGCTGACGGTGGTGGGGTGAGGAGAGAGATAGTGGAGTGAGAGGCAGAGGGAGACACAGAGAGGGCGAGAAAGGAGAAAAGAGAGAGGTACCTGGTCGATGGCTCTTGGTGGTCCACAGAGGAGGTTTCGATGGTGGTTGCCGCGTCACCGTATCTGGATGAAGTCAACGGACATCTGCCTGGAGAGAGACGAAGTTTGGGCGGGGGAATGAAGAGAAAGTGCGTGAGAAGCGTCGGATCTGCCTGAAGGGGGAGAATCGTTAATCCGAATCTATACATTATATTTAATGAATTTGAATTTAAATATACATTTTGATCTGAATTATTTATATAGTTTTATATAAATATTAAAAAACTTAGTTATAATTTGTCAAAAATTAGTTGGACCTAATCAGTCAAAATT